ACTACCACCGCCCGGCCCCCCCGCGCTCCCCCCCCCCCCCGCCGACAGCAACAACATCCGTGGCCCCCAGCAACGGCCCTCCAAGGCTTCTCCCTCCCCCCCGTCGCTGCCAGCAGCAATGGCGGCAAGCCCTGTGCAGGACTTAGCCACGGGGCCAGCCAGGCTTCCCCCCCAGCAGCAACGGCAGCGGCTCCCAGCCACCGGCCCGCCAAGGCTCCCCCCTGCGCGCCGCCACCGCCGACAGCAGCAATGGTGGCAAGCCCTGCATGGCTCTGCCACAGTTCCTAGTGGTGAGTGTGTTCTCTGCGCATGCACAGGGAACACTCCTTTACTTTTGGGGGGGATTTAAGTATCCCCCCTATAGTTTTTTATAGATTTCAGATTTTTCTGCACATCTGCACAAATGTGCAGGAAAATCTCTTTGCCCCCTGGGTGCCCCCAATGTGCACGCAGGGGGCACCTTGGCTATTAGATATATAGATAAGTCAACTTCCGGTTGGCAGCAACTTGGAACGAATGTACCCCATCGAGCTCTGATGGGGGCGATTCGGATTGGGGCTGCAGGGAGAGGGATCGGCCGGTCCCACTCTCCCCATGAAGCTCTTGGAGGGAGCTTCTAGCCTGGAGCACTGAAGCGTGTCCAGAAAAGGGCAACCAGGATGGTGAGAGGGTTGGAGTCCAAGTCTTATGAAGAAAGGCTGAAAGAGTTGGGCATGTTTAGCCTGGGAAAGAGAAGGCTTAAAGGGGACATGATTGCAGTCTTCAAATATTTGAAGGGCTGTCATGTACAAGATGGAGTGGATCTATTCTCTCTTGCTCCGGATTGCAAGGCTAGATCTAATGGGTAGAAATTACAAGGGAGTCGTTACCGGCTAAATATCATGAGAAACCTCCTAACTGTAAGAGTGGTTGAGCAGTGGAACAGACTGCCTCGGGAGGTGGTGGATGCTCCTTCGCTGGACGTTTTCAAGCGGAGGCTGGACGACCATGTTTCGGGTATGTTGTAGGGGCTCTCTTTCAGCTCTGCTCCTGCAGAGTGCAGGGGGGTTGGACTAGATGACCTGCAAGGTCCCTTCCAACTCTAACATTCTATGATTCTATGAACCAGGAAGGGCTGGAGCCTCTGAATGAGGAAGGGTGCAGAGACTGTGTGGAAAGCTCTTAACACCTTGTTTAAGGTTAACTGTGATTTGTGGAAGGAAACTGGTAGGGGAGGAAGACTTTTGTGCTAAATGGTAAATTTCAGCGTTATTGTTTCCGGGCTGGGGAGTTCATTTGGGACCCTCATCTTGGAAGCCGGAGCACAGAGGGTTCAGCTAGAGACGTCTTGGGCCACCCACAAGAGGCAAGAGACGGGCTGTGAAGGAGGGGAAAGTTCACTGTTTGGGCTTCAAAAGACCACCCTTCTGTTGTGTTACTAAGAGCTATGATTTTGTTACATGATATGCTGTTAAGTGAAGAGTAAAAATGTTTAGTTCCCTTTGAATTTTTGCAAGACTTATTCCAAGTTCTGCCCCACAGAACCCACATACCGAGGTTACATGTGTGACACTCACCCACAGCACTCAGGGCCTTGGCTGGGCTGGAACAATGCTAGACCCTTGAGGGGAGGGGGAGAGGGGAGCTGAAGAAAGACAGAGCCAGCCTCTTGGGCAGGGGGCTCAGAATCCACTGCAGATGGGACTAGTGGAAGAGCCAGGAGCCCGGAAGGGTGTTGGTGGCGAGCGGCCTGGCCTGGCCTGGCCCACGTCGCTGGGAGGCAGCTCCTCCCCAGAAAGCTCTCGCTCTTCCTTCTCCACGGAGCCTTTGGAGTCCGCCTCCTGCCTGTATATGTACCTGACTCTTGCTTGTCTGACACAGGGCACCCAGAGTGAACGGCATGTCAGGTACAGGTGCCAAGCGGTTGCATCAAATGGGTAGCTTTGCCCTGGCCACATTGAGTTGGCTGAAAGACTCCCCCAATTTTGGTGCAAAAGCCTTGGGGGGGGGGGGATAGCGTGGCCGAGACTATCTCCCATGGCCACTACAGGCCTGATCCACAGGCAGAAGCCCTTGAACTCCTCATAAGAACTACCTTAACTGGCACATTAAGGAGAACACTCTAGAGAATAATGAAGCTTCTTTTCATTCCTTAAAAAAATGAAATGAATACAGAGATCCCCAAAGCCCTGCTGCCCTTGGGTGAGTATGGGAGAGTTTGTCCTCCCTCCCCCAAAGGAAAACCTGATTGAAGGAAAATACCCTCTAAGGCTTGGAGAAGCAGCCCAGTTAGTCAACAGGAGGAGGAAGATGCTATGGTGCCAGCAACAGAGTAACTCCACTTACTTCCTGGGAGATTTCCAGATGTCTCTTTGCAAAGTGCAAGGCTTGTTCATGGCTCCCAATGGAGATGTAGGCGTTTTCTAAACTCCAGCAGGCTCTACCTTCTCCCACTCTGCAAAACCAGGAAATCATCATTACATCATAACTATTTATTTTATTTTATTTATTTTATTGTATTTATACCCCGCCCTCCCCACGAACGGGCTCAGGGCGGCTCACATAGGGCACTAAGTGCATACGATATACAAAATTACATAATACAAAAATACAGATTTTAAAACAGATTAAAATCAATTCTATGGATGCACATATAGACTCCTAACATCTTGTGTAGCAGGGGGAAGGCTGGGGTAATAGAAAGATGTTACCCCACCCCCCACAGTGGTCTCTCTCTAAAAAGGCGCGGTGGTGTAAGTGGCCGTGGCGGCTCCTACTCGTAAGCCTGGCGGAAGAGCTCTGTCTTGCAGGCCCTGCGGAAGTGCACAAGGTCCCACAGGGCCCTGATCTCTTCCGGGAGCTCATTCCACCAGGTAGGAGCCGCCACTGAGAAAGACCTGGCCCTTGTTGCCACAAGCTTGGCCTCCTTAGGGCCCGGGGTCACCAGCCGGTTTGCAGAATTCTAGATCTCCAGTGTTATCTAGAAGACAGGAAGGCCTGGCGGGAGCTGGTCCATGGGGTCGCGAAGAGTCGGACTCGACTGTGCGACTGAACAACAACAAAGTGATATTATGGGAAGCAGCAACCTTTTTTTTCCATAGCCTTAAGACAAACTGGACTGAAGCGAGTTCACCAAGTGAGCGTCTCTCTCAGCCCTTAGAGAAAACAAAGTCTGAGTCCAGTCAGGCGCCTTCAAGACCAACAGGATTTTATTCGCAGGCATGCAGACCTCTTCCACAAACCGCTTTCTTGGCCACAGACTAAATCTTTGTCTCCCTCTAGTGGCTGTGTGACTAACACATATTCAAAGTCGGCCTCGCTCCAGCTTTCATGACAAGAAGCACATCTCCATCAAAAGCCTTGCCAAAGTTCTGGATGAAGTTAGGGGGGGTTTAAACCAGCCGTTGGGTTAACGGGTATAGTTAGCAAAGTGCATTAAACAAAGCTACACACGCAGGAGCATCTTTGCACCAGGTCACCCAGCTTACAAAGCTACACAGAGCCACTTTTCTAGTTTAAGACAAGTCACTTTATTCTAGAACTACAATTTAGATAGGAAAGTTTAGAGATAGGATAGCATTCGAGTCTAACTTACTGAGGGTGGACAGATATGGCGAGAGGCCATCTGGGTCATGGTGCCAAGAAGGTGGCAGGGTGCACTCCCTGGCGCATGCAGGGAATGAATGGAAGGAAGTTTTCCCTGAGAATAAACCTACCTATCAAAGGGACAGTGACAGAAGAGTAAACACAGGAAGGGAGCTCAGGGTTTGCCCTCTCCAGTGGCCTGGCTCTGCTGCCCTGGAGTATGGAGTCTGAGGCAGGGGACCCTGGAACTGCAATAAGCCGCTCCCCCAGCATGGGGCAGACCTGGCAACCAGACAGAACCCTGCTGAGGCGTGGCTGCCCTCTGCTTTCTGGTAGGGCTGCTGTCTTTAACGCCCTGCATGGCATGCATCTCTTCAGCCAGAGGCAGTCCCTTCCTCTAACGTTCTGCACTTCTATGCTGCAAAAGTGACCCAGGAGCAAATTTTTGTTTCTCCGCCTAGCACAGAATCCCTGCCCAAAATAAAGCTGGTGGTGGAAGCGAGCATCTTGGAAGTCCAAAGGAAGAATAAGCAGCCAAAGAGGCCTGCAGGTTTTTCCATTCCACTTGGCTACGTGAGATAAAAATACAGCGGGCTTGTGGGTGAGCAAGTGGCTCTTTACGGAGAGTGGGTGTAGTAGACTGGAGCCCAGTTGCTCCCCTCTTCTTGCCAGCTAGAAGGTGGTGGCTAGATTACTGTTGGCGAGGGAGAGCCGGCCACGCGGGCCAGGGTGAGAAGCCCCCACGTGTCCCCTTCCCTCCCCCCCCACTCCCTCCAGCAGCTCTTGCTGGTGAGCCACCCTCTCCCAACTTGGGCCCAGCTCTGCAAAGCTGCTTGGAGATCTGTCAAGGCCCCATGTTGCACAAGGGCCAGGAGGTCATCCTGAAAGGGTCAGGGAGGCGGAGGGAAGAACAAAGCCTCCTTCCCCTAATCCCTCTGAGAGAGAGAGAGAGAGGGTCTCGGCCTGATGGTCAAGACGGCCTCCTCCCCTTGTCCTTCAGACAGGGGAGGCGGAGAGGACTCCCTCACCCACGTCTCTGAGGACGGGCAGAAACGGGGCGTGGGGATGCCAAGCCAAGCCAAAGAGCCTCAGCTCCTCCTCAGATGGTGCCGCATATGCTTCATGTTCAGGCCAGGAGTCTTACCTCACAAGGCCCACCAACACAGGCCTCTGCTCTCTGGGGCAGCTTTAGCCCTGAAGGCCTTTTCTAAGACCAAACAAGGTTTGTCAGGTTTCAGGGCCTGCACGGCCCAACTCTTTCCCTCCAGGGGGAGGCACCCACGTAGTTGAGGCGTCTCTCAAACCCCCTGACTCTCTCCTCAAGGTGGAGGAAACCTCCTGTCAACCCACCAAACAGATCCTTCATCTGCGGGCAATTTTGTACACCACCCAAGAGTTCCTCCTCCTGCCGCCAAATCACTCTTATGCCAAGATGAACTTCCAGACATCTCTGAGCTTTAGGCCTTTGAACCATCTGAACGATCTGGTCCCAATCCTGGAGAGGCAATTGCTTGACTACTGGACTGGACATCTCTCCCAGAGAAGGGCCCAGAAGAAGCCGGCTAGGGTCCTGGTCACCACACAGGCCCGTCTCCAGAGTGACTGCCCCCTGCAAAGAGCTGGTGTCCGTAAGCAGCTGTATCCAAAGCTTCAGCTGACGAAAGCCTTGAGCTGCTCCAGCATCAGACCGAGAATCATCACAGGAGCTCAGGTAAACAGGCAGCCAGGGGGGGAGGACAAAGGGCCGTGCCCTCCTCCCTCCACAGGAAGGCCATGGACCTGCTTGTCTGGGAGGAGAACACCCCAGCCTCCCCCCCATCGGTGGACCTTGCCCAAGGTGTCACAAGCAACACACCTGTGGCCCAGCGTGGGCTGCAACAGAAAATGCACCAAACACCTGTGTCTCCACAAGACGGCCAAAGGGTTGGGCGCCCTCACAGGTCCCTGGGCGCCTCTGACTGAAATGGTCCCTCAAAAGAAATACGGGGGGGGCGGGGCGGGGAGGTGGTCTGGGAGATCTCCCACTCCCAACTAGAACAGAAACGTACAGTAAAAGACCAAAAATCCAATTTCTACAGAATCTGGAGTTCCTCACCTATCCTCAAGCTCCTGTGCAATTGTCAAGTGCTTCAGGTGGTATTCTATGGCCCTCTCGTCGTCTCGGAGGAGGGTGTATGTGTTCCCAAGGCTGTAGCACGACTGAGCCTCCACAGCTTGGTCCTTCAGCTGCCTGGAGAGCTGTAGAGTTTTCCTAGGTGGAAAAGGGCAGAATTGATATCATGGAGGAAAGGCAGCCTCCTAAGCTGGAGACAAAGTCCAACACACACTTTTATCTTTGTGGCAGACGCTGTCCAGTCAGCGGACTGAAAGAAAGACGGGCAGCAGAGGAGACAGGAGCGGAATGGCTCTGAGGGAAAGCACCGCCCTCCTTGAGAACCCCGGATCAGAGAGGGACTGCTGGGGGGCCGGCACAAAAGGGGGGGGGGCTCTCCAGGCATGCCCTGTGCCCATCCCGCTCAAGGGAATGTGCCCGGATCTAAACGACGACCAACAGCCTGACTGACACTAAAGTACAAGCGTTCAAGCTTTGAGTAATCTGAGCCTAACAAAACTTCTTCCTCCTCTCGTTTGGAGACAAGGAGGTGCGGAAAACTGTCCAACAGCGAGTTGCCCAGACTGAGAAGCCAGCTTGGACTCAGCCGCTTTACAGGCCTCACAAAGCCCTCGTGCCCCAGGTGACCCCTGCATAGTTGCACCTCTGGCCACCCACGGCAGAGATGCGGAAGCCGGCCACTGGCTCTTTCCTCCAAGAAGCTCCCAAAATGGTGAGAAGGCAGGTGGGTCCCTGTACGCTCCCCAGTCCCGGGCTCCCCTGGGGAGAGGCAGACGAGCGGGGGCAGGGGCCTCTCAGCTCTGTGCTCTTCCTGGAGAACCCGCTTTATATCCTGTAAAGGCTGTCGAAAAGGTACTTTCCCCTTCCGGTTTGCTAAAGCAACGGTGAGCTTGGGATGCATCTTCAGTTTGGGGTTTTCTCTTCTGGGACCAAAAATGAATGAACAAACTGGGTATCACCAACTGCTTACAAACAGAAGGTGCCAGTATTGCACACAGAAAGCATGAGAGGACACAAGATCTTCCCTGAAGTTTAGATTTTCCTACAGCGGGACCATAAAGAGAGAAGAAGAAGAGAAGAAGAGATTGGGTTTGTCCCCCATGGCCCTTCACTACCCGGAGGAGTCTCAGAGCGGCTCACAAACTCCTCTCCCCTCCCCTCCCCACAACAGACACCCCGGGAGGCAGGCGGGGCTGCTGAGAGAGCTCTTTCAAGGACTGCCCTTGAGAGAACAGCTCTGAGAGAACTTGTGACTGACCCAAGGCCACACCAGCCAGGTGCATGTGGAGGAGTGGGGAGTCAAGCCCAGTTCTCCCAGATTAGAGTCCGCGCTCTTAACGACGACGCCAAACTGGCTCAGTCACACAGTGAAGGACAGAAGTGCTCCAAGGTCAGAACTATGCGAGCCTGGCCTGCCCAGCCATCACCCTCTCCTGCTCCAGCCTTCCGGATGGCATCATGTCGGTGGGGGGATCCCTAGGGGGGTGCTGCTTTTGACTCCTAGGTGAAAATTAAGGGTGGGGCTGTCCGTCACGCTGAACGTGAGGCGTCTGTATATGAGGGAAGGAGGGGCAGTGCATGCCCTGGCCCCACTCCTGTGCCTCCCCTGAGCACAGACTGAGAATCCATGCAAGTCAGGGGGCAGGACTCACACGTTTGCTAACCCCAGCCGCGCTCTATGCATCCTGGTCGGGGCTCCAGTGTTCTCCCCCCGCCCCCTTCCCCAGCTGCAGCATGGAAAGGAGACGGACATTTGTTCTTTCAGTGGTCTGGATGATCAGCTGCTGCAGCCAGCTCATGTTAATCTCGGCAAACACGAGAGCCAGTCTGGTGTAGTGGTTAAGTGTGCGGACTCTAATCTGGGAGAACCGGGTTTGATTCCCCACTCCTCCTCCTTTTGCACCTGGCTGGATGACCTTGGGCAAGCTGTAGTTCTGATAAGAGCTGTTCTTGAAAAAGAGCAGTTTCTGTCAGGGCTCTCTCAGCCCCACCTGCCTCACAGGGTGTCTGTCTGTTGTGGGGAGGGGAAGGGAAAGGAGTTTGCAAGCCGCTCTGAGACTCCTTTGGGTAGTGAAGGGCCATGGGGTATACATCCAATCTCTTCTTCTTCTTCTTCTGGACTTCACAAAAAGAGCTAGGGTTCTCCATGCTCTTTTTTTAAAACTGAGGAGCAGCCAATATTAGCAGAGGGACTGAGCCCCCCCCCCTTTGGTATTCATCTCCTCAGATCTCACCTTCCCCTTTGCGGAGCCCTGCTGTGGGTGGCCTCGTGGGTGACACCTTTGGGTAATGAAGGGCGGGGTATAAATCCAATCTCTTCTTCTTCCTTTGCCCAGAAGGGTAAGAGAGCTCTCTCTTTCTCTCTCTCTCTCTCTCTCTCTCTGTACCCGCAATGAAAGCAGAGCCCTGTTTAACCCTTTCTTACTGCCTGTGGCCCACCTCCTCCAGGCCAAGCTACTGCCATGTTTTGGCTCCCACTTTCTCCATCCAGATTTCCAAAGAGCAATCCTAGTTGCAAGAGGCGACGGAGAAGAGCGTTCTGAGACGTCCTGGCACCAACCAGGAGGAGGGAGATTTGTACACCATGCTGCCCCCAACAGACCTGTACACTGGTGAGAGTACCGGAAATTTCGCCCTAAGCCATTCTTGTTCTCTTCACTGATGGCTCCCAAAAACTATGTTGAAGGGCAAAAACGTACAGCTGCTCCCATCTTTGCACTGGGCAATACTAAGCCCAACCAGGCCAGCCAATGCTTCAGTAAGAGCCGCCTCGTGCAGTGCCAAGAAAGGATGCTGTCGGCTTCCACGCAGGGCTCCCCACTTACTTGTAGTACTCAGCAGCGATGTCAAACCTTCCCAGGAAGATGTGGGCATTGCCCAAATTGCTGTGCGCTCTCCTTTCCGCTGCCTTGTCCCCAAACTCCTTGGCAATGGCAAGTCTCTGAAAGGGATTAGGCAGGTGGCTTCAGCTGCTGTCACAACATCTGCCAGTGAAGCATTTTCCCCAGCCCACACCCCAAGAAGACACACGCAGGCAAAGCCACTGGAAGCCACACAGCCAAGGCTGGGGCGGGGCACACTCGGCACTTTTAACAAGGAAGGCACAAGTTCTGTGCCAACAAGAGCTCATCTGTGCAAGCTGGAGAAGTGCTCCAAAATTAAGCTCTTGTTGCATGGAGTATTTGGCCTCTGCCAGGCATGCGACGGGGGCTAAACGGGGAACCCTAACCCTCTTCCCACCTGGAGGCCTTCTTCACCTGCTGTGGTTTCTGAGGGTGCACACAGGCCAGGCCCAACACTACTTTGTGTCACAGAGGAGTGGTACCCCTCCCCAAATGGGTGGCCAATGGGGCCTTTCTCCCCAGCGGTGGAACGGCAAAAGCGGTGTCTGGAAACCAGGCAACCCCTCAGGCTTCAGCTTTACCACAAGGCTGTGCATTCTTCTGCCGGGACGGAATAAGGATGTGGCCCTGTTGCTGACACACAGAGACAAGCAGCACAGCCTCCCTGCAAGACCAGGACACAGGACAAAATCTCTCTCTCTCTCTCTCTCTCTCTCTCTCTCTCTCTCTCATGACCTTCACCCACATTCCTTGTTTGATCTAAAGTCCTGAGCAGACCCTGCCAGCGCATTCCCAAGCTACTCTCACGTATAAATAAATAAAATAAATAAATGAGCTCTGTAAAGATGAGGGATAAATATTTGCTTTAAAAAACACTACGCAATGTGGAAAAATAGCCAGTAACTGGACTACAAGTGGCCGGGGGGGGGGGGGACCTAAACAAAGAAGCTTCCAGGCCTCCTTGGAAATATCACCCGGTCTTACCTCTTTATGGAAAGCAACAGCTTTGCTGAAGTTGCCTAGCAAATACTGAGTGTTGCCCAGGTTGCCATAGGCCCGGCCTTGAGCAGCTCTGTCTCCCAGCTCCTTCACCAGAGACAGGTTCCTCCTGCAGGAAACCAGAAAGGGAGGAGAGACTGCAGTCGGCACGTCTCAAAAAGAGAGCAGCGCCAGCAGCGGCACAGCCCGCCTGCCCCCGGCACTGGGACCCCTTCAGAGACGGCAGGTCTTGGCACATCCTGCAGGCCTTGCAGAGTGGCAGGAAGGGGGTGCGCATTTTGATTTTCTATCCCAATCAGCACATCTTAATTTAGCCCCTAGTTTGGGAATCAACAAATGGGACTAGCAGGTGTCTCAAGTCCCCCCAGGCGGTCCATGGAGAGGCTAGTGCTGATGACCGCCAAAGGCTGGGCAGGGGACTGGTCCGGGACCCTGCAGGAATCCTGGGGAGGCGGAGGGTGCCCCTGCCAGGCCCAGCGGGGAAGGAGGGGCCACGGCTTGTTTCCCAGACGGCGGCACCAAGAGGGAAGGGCCAAGGGGTCTGCACGAGGGACCCCAAAGGTTAAATTCTGCTGCTGGCAGCATGGAGGAGGGGCTGGTACTCAACTCACAAATAAAATTCGGATGCCCTTTCCAAAGTCTCCTTGACCTCTTGAGGCAGGTGTCCAGGCTCCTGCGGCAGACTCCAAGACAGCTGCTTGCCTTTCGCATGGTGCACGTTGCCAATGTTGTACAGTGCTCTGGCCTCCCCTACCTGAACAAACAGAAGACTCACTGAGCCAGCTTTCTTTCCCGGGCCTTATCTTAAGGTCTGGTCACACAGATTTTCATTTCAGGTTATCATCATCACGCTTGAACCCACATTTCCAGGCACCCCCCTTAACACAGCCCCACCACAGGCAGGAACAGCAAGCCAGTCCTGGGAGCGCCTAATCCAAGCCCCACTAAGCCATGGGCATGCACCTCCCAGCACTGGGCATGGCCACTGGGAGTCCGCGGATCCCTTAAACTGTTACCTGAAGGGGTCATGGGCTCGATGAAGACCAGTGAACTGTAGCTCCGTCCTGGCAAGACAGAGTGTGCTGCCGCTCAGCAATACTGCCCAGCAGGGATGGCACCAAACTCCTCCAAAAGGGCAAATCTGCAGCTCGATCCAGGCTTACAGAGAGTCAAGCATCCTCCGATATATGCAAGCCTCATTTTCTGCCGGAGCTCACCGGAGCGATGCTTTGGCGGTGAGGAGGCCAGGGGGCAGGGACATGCAGCAAACACCCCCCCCGCTTTTCCAGGTCCGCGCCTAGCGCGGGGCCCTGGAAAGGCCTACGCAACCCGCCCCCCTCCCACGCAAGGGGGGGAGGGCACCAGCTTCCTATGCAGGGCCGCAGGCAGGGCAAGGGGAGACTCTCTGGGCCTCTGGAGCAGGACTCACAAGGCTGCCGGCGCCACCGGACAGGCCGCCCAGCCCAGCGCCTCCCCCAGCCTTCAGGATGCTTCGCAGCTGGCGGGGGGGTGGCAGGGGTCAGCGGGGGGGCTCTCCTCCTTCCTGAGGCTGACAGCGCCTGGCCAGGGGCAGAGTTCAGCGGGTTTGCCTGCCAGGCGCACACCAGCTTGGTCAGGCCCACCCTTCCCCTGCAGCTGCACCCTGCAACCTTTCCCATGGGGGGTGACCACCACCACCGCCCCCCTGCAGAGATGTCTCCGCGCTGTGAATAGAGCCCTGCACAGGGAGGCACGGATCAAAGCACTTGGAGCCCAAGGAAGGAGCAGAAGCCTGGGGGGCGGGGCGGAGTGACCCTGCCGATTTGGGGGGCAAGTTTTGGATTCTCTCCCATGTAAAAAACAACCTCTGCAAGTCACTGGAAAAAAGCCGGGGAGAAAGTGGCTCGCCCATTCCACTCCCTGCGGGGCTAGATTTGTGTCCTGAAGAGAGACCCACTTCTCTCTGCCCCCCCGTTCTGGTGCCCCCGGGCTGAGCTGGTGGCCAAGAAGCTGCACAGAGCCCCTCTGAGGCCAGCGTGAGGCGCAGCTTGCACACGAGAGGAGTTTGCAGTGGAGCATCGGGCAGACCGAAAGGGAGCTCCTATCATCCTGCCAGCTTGTTTCGGACGCCAGCAGTTCACTGGGCACTGGTGGCCTGGCCTTCAGCCGAGCTCAGGGGTTGCCAGCAGTGTTCCTTCTAAGCTGAGTTAGCTTTTTAGCCTCCAGCTCACAGATTTTTGCCTTCGCTCAGGAAGGACGGGGCTCCAGAGCAGCCCAATCGCTGGCTCACAACTCTCATGCCAGGAGCTCACGAAGTAGAATTCTTGCTCACCAGACGCCACAGCTTAGAGAAAGCCGTGGTGGCAAGGCATGCCCCACATAGAGGGTTTTGCCAGGCATGTCTTGGCTCCCTTGCCCCGCCGGCCGGAGGCTGAGTGAGACCCTGCACCTGCCCTGGCCGAGCAGAGGACGGGTGTTCCCAGCACCTCCTGCCAACATGACCCTTCCAGCTGGATTTGGCCCTGCCCCGCGGTCGCTGCCCTCTCGCTGAGCCACAGAGCCCTCCTAGGGGGATGGGAGGGCCGGGCTGAGGTGTGCGGCGGTGGGGAGGTCAAGGGCCTTGTTCTTGCCGGGGATTCTATCTGACTGAGGTTCCTGCAGAATAATTTCCCCTTAATTGTGCCTCAGGAACCAGAGTTGTTTCCTACCAGTTGTCCTTGCTGGTGCCAAGATTTACCTGACTCGGGCAGCGGCCTCAATTTGCATTAGCCAATGAGCAGATATGTATTTTCAAACTATTGTACAGGTAAATTAGCCAGAGAACTGCTGAGGGCTGCCCACAGAGACCTTGTAAAAACTCATCTTGTAGCTCTGTTGTGTACAAAAGGACTTTTAGGAGCAGACACTGTGCACATGATTGGAGTATACATCCAAATGTTTGAGCAGATCTGTTCGTCTATCACATTTTTTGTCTCATTCTTCTTCCAAGGAGCTCAGGGCAATGCACGTATTTCTCCCTTTCTCCATTTTATCCTTGCTCCATCACTGCTGTTAAGTCTGTGTGGCCGGTTCAAGACCATCCAGGGAGCTTTATTCCAGGTCGACAATTTGAACCTGGATCCCTTCCATTCTCATTCTTATACACTTTATTTATTTATTTGTTTGTTTGTTTAATGTACTTTAATGAGTGACATCAACTACTTCCCATAACCGGTTGAATACACAACCCCTGCTTTCAACGGAGTCAGGCCTTTGGCCTATCAAGGTCTCTCTTTCCTACTCTGATGGGCAGCAGCTCTTCAGGATGGCCAGTGGGGGTCTTTCAGGTCACAGAGGCTACCTGAGAGCCAGCTCAAAATAATAAAAAAAAGATATTAGCCATTTCAAATTTTGTGTTTTTCATTCTTCCTAAAATGCAATTATGTTTGGAAATTGGTGGGCGCACCGGGGGGGGGGGCAGAAGGTAGCCTCGCCTAGTGTGCAAAAAAACCTGGCACCAGCCCTGCACAGGGCCCTCGAAAGGCCTGTGCAACCCACCACCCCTGCCTTTCCATGTGACAGGAAGAGAGGGAGCTGGACCGTAACCAACAGACCGAAAGGGCCAAGGACAAGAAACGAAAACCAGTCATCAAGAGGTTGATGACTGAACCCATGGTTGGCCCCCCGGAGGATTCCTCTTCGCTGCTGAGTGACGTCACCCTGTCATCCTGCTCTTCTTCGTGTGCATCCAAAGAGAAGTAAGAGCCATGGCACTCTTGCTGTGTCTACACGTGTGTGGGGACTTCCAAATGGCGGGGGGGGGGTCAAGTGGCTCTGTCTGCCACCCAACCCCTAGGTTGAAGACCACAACTCTAGATCATTGGGTTTTGCTTAGGCAAAAAATAGCGGATACGATTTCATTGTTGTTCTGGATCCAGACCTGTCAACTTTATTTATTTAAAACCTGCTTTTCCTCTCTGAAAGTGACCTTGTTGTGGCTGACAAAAATAACACTAAATGGCAATGATTCAAAACCCACAGTAAACTATAACAGAGAGGAAGTGTTGTGTACCCAGGGAAGTCCGCGCACGCGGTCAGGTCAACACGTGCTCAGGTGAAGGGCCCGAGCTTCGTCTCCAAAGACAATAGCTAGAACGGATCCTAGCATGCACCTATTGGGAGGCTAGGATCCTAGAAAGGACCTATGGGTCCAGGGGTGCACTGTAAATACCCTATCTCGGGTGTGTGGGGGGGTGTGTGGTGTGATTTGGGAATATAAGCCGGTCTGCGAGCCGGCTAAAACATCTCAAGATCTTAATGTAAATAAATAAAGTATGAGCTGTAATCACTCTGCAACGCAGCAGCCTCAGTACTATAGGAAGGCTGCCAGTCAAACAGAAAAGGAACACTAAAAACACCTCAGCCATCAATGCCAAGGAGAATAAAAATATATTGACCTAGTATCCTGGTATCCCCCCTCTTTACCTGACATGGGTGGTTGGTGCCATCAGATAGGCTCACCAGCTCTGACCTGGGAAATACCTTGGAGATTTTTGGGGTGGAGCCTGAGCGGTGGGTGTTGCCTTCTGACACACTTCCAGTGATGTCAGGGGGTGTGGCATATGCAAATGAGTTATGCAAATGAGCTCCTGCACCTCTTTTTCTACGAAATGACCCCTGGATATATGTAGTGACTTTGCCCAACTTTGTTTGATGCAGATAGTGCAGCTGTCGCTCAAAAAGTAGGACATCCAAGCTCTGATGGTATCCAGATGGCACTACTGCCATGTTCTCTTTGTGGAACTGCCTTTGAACTGGTACTAAACTCCACAAGACTGCTGGCAGCATTATCCTTAAAAGAAGTGCCCTGGCTGCCAATTCATTCACAGGCTCAGTTCAGAGGACAAGGTGTTACCTGGTCCTGGATAGTGAGAGGGGCTACTTGCCCCCATACAAGCCCTCCTGTAAATCAGGGGGCCCTATGGAGGTCCCTTCTGTGCCCCACGCCTCCAGAGGTGCGGTAGGGGTCACGGGTCCCTGTGGCACTGCAGCTCTGCCTTCACGGCCAGGCCAGGACATGTTGCCCAGCTTCCAGCTGACCCGGGTACGCGGCTGCTTCTTTTTAGTTCTGTGGCTCTCTCCCTCTCTAGGAAGCGTAGCGAAGCAGGAAAACACTTGAAGGAGACGGAGTCTCTGACGAGATGTTTCAGATTCCTGCCCGTTATGTGTTGTTTTTGTCATTTTACGGATTATGGGTTTTAAATGCCACGGGCGCACAGATTTGTTGAAACCTGTTTTTGTTGGCTGTCTCAAGCCACCTTTGAGGAGAAAAGTGGAATACTTAAATAAACACATCGTGTGGGTTTTTCCCTCTCTGCCTTTGCTTCTTGAATCAATAGTTTATTTTACTGGGCCACTGCACTTGTATCAGCAACTGATTGTTAACTGCTATTTGTAATTATACTAATTTTTTTGATGAGATGTTGTTTTAAATGAATTTTATTCCAGTTGGCCAATTTGGAAGCCACTGGCTGAGAGGTAAAAACCTACCACATATATATGTAAAATGTTTCCTGCTGTTGCCTTTTACAACCTTGCTACTGCCTAGCCCTCCCACACACACACACACACACCCCTCGGCCCCTGCATCCCCTCCAGCCCATGAGCCTTTGGTGTCCCACCTGCGAAATAGGCCAAGCTGGACAAGATGCAACCAGCAGGCCGGAGAGAGACTATGAAGCCAAAATCAATCAGTCCCCTAATTCAAGTCAGATTATTTCCCTCACTCAAGACGTCTATTCCAAACACAACATCTGAGGTGTCCATCTAGTTTTACCTGAGAGTTATATGTCATATGGCATTTCTCGTGCTCTGTGGCAAGCAGAGGCTTGGTGCCCAGTACCTTTACCTTGTCCCCTTGCTCCTGAGAAATCTCCAGGTGCCTCTGGCAACAGGCAACGGCTTCATCAAACTGCCCAAGGACTTTGAGCGTGTTCCCTAGATTCCCACTGGCTTTGGCCTCTCCAGTGCGATCCCCAATGGTTCTGCAGAGACAATCAGAAGACAGAAGTGGCTTCTAAGGAACATGGTAACAATCAAGATCCAAAGTGAAGGAGTCCTAGAGAACTTCCTTCCTTTACAAGTAGCAGCAGTTAATCTTTGCCACAAATCTCCTGGTGTCCCTGCAAGGGAGTCCACTAGACAAAGAGCCCGCTTGCGGGGAGGGCGGGGTATAAGTTTGACAAATAAACAAATAAATAAATAAAGAGCCTCCTTGGCCAATGGCAGGGTCAGCTCTGCATGGATACCAGAGATGCTATTTTTGTTCCTCCCATAAGGAACTGTTTTTGGATGCAGGGTGCTTACCTAGCTAATGTGAGATCATGCTTATGGTATTCAAGAGCTTTAGAGTACTCCTTCAGGTAGAAGTAAGCATTGCCCAACTGGCTGTAGATGGCACTCAGTGTCTTCAGATCTTCTGTCCCCACCTGCACAGCTGCTTCAAAGAAAGCCACGCCAGCTCTGAAATCCTCAGCTTTGCATGAACGTTCTCCTTCAAGGGCTAACTCCAAACACGAAGCCTCCATCCTGCAGAAATATACCAAATATATAATCTTAGTATCTAAAAACCTGGAATATCACCCAGGGGAAAACCTCACATGTTCTTAGTCTGATTTCTAATGGATTTTTCAGGATAGGAAAAATCTAAAAAATCATAGCTTTTCATAGAACCATAGAATGTTAGAGTTGGAGGGTACCCTGCAGGTCATCTAGTCCAACCCCCTGCACTTTGCAGGAGCATAGCCGAAAGATAGCCCTACAACATACCCGAAAGAGGGTCGTCCAGCCTCCACTTGAAAACGTCCAGCGAAGGAGCATCCACCACCTCCCGAGGCAGTCTGTTCCACTGCCCAACCACTCTGACAGTCAGGAAGTTTCTCCTGATATTTAGCCAGTAATGACTCCCTTGTAATTTCCACCCATTAGATCTAGTCTTGCAATCCGGAGCAAGAGAGAATAGATCTGCTCCATCTTCTACATGACAGCCCTTCAAATACTTGAAGACTGCAATCATGTCCCCTCTAAGCCTTCTCTTTCCCAGGCTAAACATGCCCAACTCTTTCAGCCTTTCCTCATAAGACTTGGATTCCAGCCCTCTCACCATCCTGGTTGCCCTCTTCTGGACACACTTGAGCTTATCAACATCCTTCCTAAAATGTGGTGCCCAAAACTGGACACAGTACTCCAGGTGAGACCTGACCATAGAAGAATAGAGCGGAACTACCACCTCCTGTGGTCTGGACACAATGCTTCTGTTAATGCATCCTAAGATTGCATTAGCTTTCTTCGCAGTCACATCGCACTGCAGGTTGAGCTTGTGATCAACCAGAACACCCAGATCCCTTTCACATGTGCTGCTGTCAAGCCAAGTCCCTCCCATTCTATATCTGTGCCTTTGATTTTTTGTACCTAAGTGTAGGACTTTGCACTTCTCTCTATTGAAATTCATTTTATTTGTCTCAGCCCACTGCTCCAGCCTATCTAGATCATTTTGAATCCTGACTCTGTCTTCTTCAGAATTAGCAATCGCACCCAGCTTTGTGTCATCTGCAAATTTGATAAGCATCCCCTCTATGTCTTCCTCCAGGTCATTTATAAAAATACTGAACAACACCAGGCCTAGGACTGAGCCCTGTGGCACTCCACTCGAGACTTCCCTCCACGTAGACGCAGAGCCATTTACGAGCACTTGTTGGGTACGATTTTTCAACCAACCATGAGTCCATCCAATGGTTGCAACATCCAGCCCACACTTAACCATCTTATCCTCAAGGATATCATGAGAAACTTTTTTTTACACATTAGGCAAGTCTGGCATGAGTCCACATACTGAGAGATGTCCCGCCGCATGTGTAGCCACCAGAATTGCCTCTGGAGAAGGTGTAATGTTTTTAGGAAACCATAATGTCCCGCAATCTTGGATTCATGTCCAAGTGCAAAATCTCCCCCCGTAGGCTAGCGGGCACAATCAATCTGTCTCCCTTGTACCAACACCAATGGTGCCAGCTGCTTAGAGCTAGCCGGATCGCGGCTGCTTCTTTGTCCCACACTGCCCAGTTCCTTTCAGTGGAATTGAATTTCTTTGACACGTAAGCCAAAGGGTGCAACTTTCCATCCTCCCCCTGTTGTAAGATGGCCCCTCCCATAGCGACATCCGATGCATCCACCTGCACCACAATTTTTTTATTTTCATCGGGGTGATGGAGAATGGGCTCAGTGGTGAACAGCTGCATTAACTTGGTGAATGCTTCCTGGCACTCGTCCGTCCACACCAGTAGAGCCCCGGGTTTTACCCCCTCGGGCCCTTTCCCTTTGGTCTTTAGTAAGTCTGTGAGAGGAAGGGACACCTGGGCGAAGTTAGGGATGAAGGGCCTGTACACCAATATTGAATTCTTAACATAGGTAGACTTTATAAAAAATGGTTCCTAGAACCAAAAAAAAAAAAAAGAAAGAAAGAAAAATAAAGAAATCCGCGAACCCAAGGAATGATTTGAGTTGCCTCTGGGTCTTGAGGGGCTCCCACCACAACACGTCAGCCACCTTGGCTGAGTCCATCTCCAGCCCCCGCTGTGAGATGCAGTAGCCCAGAAAGTCCACCTCCTCCTGATGGAACTCATATTTTGACAATTTGCCAAAAGTTTGTGGTTGTAGAGGGCCTGCAGCACCTCCCACACCAGTGCTATGTGTGAGGTCTTATCTTGAGAGTAGATAAGGATATCATCTAAATAAACAAGGACCCCCCTGGAACAGGTGCTTGTCCAACACTTCATTGATCAAGTTCATGAACACCCCAGGGTACCCCTTGCAGCCCAAACAGCATCACCAGGTATTCGAACTGCCCTAACGGAGTATTGAAGGCAGTTTTGTGCTCATCCCCATCCCTTACGCGCACCCAAAAGTAGGCATCCTGAAGATCTAGCTTCGTAAAGATCTTTCCTTTAGCTGCCCCTGCCAGCAAGTCTTTGATTAGTGGGAGGGGGTAGGCATTCGAAGTGGACACTGCATTCAGTCCTCTGTAATCTGTGCAGAGGTGCAGCCCCCCGTCTTTCTTTTTCCAGAACAAGACAGGGGCCACAAACGGGGAAGAGGCGGGGCGTATGAAACCGTGAGCTAAGTTCTTGTCAATGAACTTTCGAAGTCCCCCCTTCTCAGCTAAGCTCATGGAGTACAATTTTCCCTTGGGCATTTTGTGGCCAGGTGTCTGGACCAAGGACAAACACTCTCCCATTCTCAGGCGCTGAGTTCACAGCCACCTGGGGCCTTGGGGTTCTCACTGGGTCCTGGTCCTTTGCTGAGGCTCTTTTTCATCTGAGTTCCTCTCAAGGATGCAGACAGACACTCAACAGACACTCCCAGCGTGGTGGGTTAAAAAATACCTCTGCATTTATTTGAGTCCTTCAAATAACTAAGAGTGTTTGCTCGGCAGAAACCACTCACAGATTATAGCAATGGCAAAAAAACCCAACAACACTATACTCGCACTGGGCAGAGGCTGAGCCTGAAGCATTAACTCCTTGAGGCTTCCTTCACTGGGGTAATCTTGCGAGCTGGCTTTCTCACCCGAAGGCTTAAGAAAGAGAGTCCACTCCCACGGGTATAGCCCACAGCATTTCAGCTTGCAGTCCTGGAGGCCTCAGCCTCTGTTCGTTTCCTGTGTGTCTACTGCCCCCCCCCCCAGTTCGGTCGCCCCTGGCAGCCAGATAAAGGCATCTTAAGCAGCTGGTCAAGGCCACCAGGTGTTTTTAATTAATGCTCAGTCCAAACAGGCTGCAACCAACCTGTGAAAACTTATAGCTTGGTCGCATTAATGAAATCCTGAGATCTGTAAATTCTAATCCTTACATCAGGTAATATCTCAATGGCACAGTCAGTGTTCCATTGGGGAGAAAGTTAATCAGCCTCACTTTCCTCAAACACCCTAACCAAGTCCCAGTACTCTCTGGGAATGGAGCGGAGCTCCTCTTGCGTTAGGCAGGCCGGCTCCCAGGCAGCTTTGGGTTCCTCTCCCCAACTGGGGTCCTGCTCATGTGGCACACACCCTTTGGAAGTAAAATACACAGTTCCCTGGCTCCATGAAATACCTGGGTCATGGTCATGGAGCCAGGGGTTCCCCAATACCAGGGAAAACCAAGCCATGGGGTGATTACGAAAGTCCTTGTCTCCCACTGAGATCCCGCGCCGAACACCACAGTCACTGTTTGGTATCTACAAGGTTCACTCATGGGGGACCCATCCATTTGGGTAAATATCAACGATTCTGGGAGTCTCTGGGTGGCCAATCCCTGACCCATAAAAATGGATGGGCTAATAATGTCTCGGGCACAGCCTGAGTCTATTAAGGCCCGTACTCGCACCTTGGTGCCCATTTCGGGGTTGGCCAGTGTCACAGTCACAAAAAACAGGGGAGGGGGGTTGCTTACCACTTTTGGCGCTGTTTTGGGGTGGGCCTGCTTGGTCCTAGCCATTTCCTGCCGGCTGGGGTGCTTCCCCCTCACTGGAGGAGGACTCGGTGGCCATGGTCCCACCTGCAGGGCTCATTGTCGCTTGGGTTGCAGGGGCCCTCCTTTCTTAGGTTCTCCCCTGGTGGATTTCTTCTCCGATCCTTTTGGCCCACCTGGCAGGGTTGTTGCAGGGCAGGAAGCGGCATAGTGGCTCAGTTCTCCACATCGGAGGCAGAGACCTAGACACATGCGTTGCTCCTGGGCAGGTTCTGTGGCCTTCGAGCAGGGGCTCTTCAGGGGTTCCCCTCTATGCCTGCCCATGCCTCGGACTCCCAGCGCCTTCATCATTTGAAAACGGCTCTCTGCTTCCTCTGCTTCGTGCACCCATGCCGTCAATGTCATTGGATTCACATTTCGAAGCACGGATTCCAGGATCTGGCTGTTAAGCCCAATCCTGTACTGCTCCACTAACACGGTTTCAGGCCATCCCTGGATTATGGAGGCATACCTTTTGAACTCTGCAGAGTACTTTCTCACAGAGCGGGCCCCTTGCTTCAACACTCGCAGGTGATTCCGAGCCTTCTCGATCCCCTTTGGATTCTCGTAGTGCCCACATGAACGCCTGGACATCCCTCAGCTCAGGGGCTTGCATGTTGTTCAGTGCCACAAACCAGTCAGCTGCTTGCTCGCGTAGATTCTCCCCGATGTAGTCTATGCGGTGCTCATCAGACAGAAACAGGTGGCCCCAGTCCCTCAGGAACTTTCACACCTGCAGGGTAAAGAACGGCAGTTTGTTGGGGTCCCCATTGTACGTGGCTTTCAGTAGCTCCTTCGGTTGTTCGAGACCCGGCACTGGAGTGGGTACCAGCTCTGGTGGAGGGTCCGCTGGCGGTGCGGCTGGTTGTTACACGGGAGAGGCGGGGGCTGGTATTTCCCTTGCACCGGGGTGCTGCAATCCCATTTTATACTGCACCGTGGTCGTGACCAGCTGGGGTAGCGCCATCCGTGCCTCAAGCAATTCTTGACGCAGGTCATCTTGCTTGGTCAGCAACACCTATTGCATCTGCTCCACACAATCCTCTCCA